AGACACCTATCAGACCAACAAGTGACCATCACTCACAAAAACACTGAAAAACACAGTACAAGAGACTTAAAAAGGCATAAAAATGAAAAATACATTACAACACGTGCAAAACCACATATATAATCACAAACACGCATATAAGCACATATACACAAATATATACACACACAAAACACATATACACAGACAGGGCCACAGCAACGCATGGCAGGGGATGACTAGTCTATCTATATAAATAAAAATGAAATGTTCATTTGTGGGATTAACAGAACTCAAAATCTACTGGACAAATTGACACCAAATTTGGACACAAGACACCTAACAATGCAATGTATGCCCTTTACTCAAAAAGAATTGATTTTGTCATTTGGGAGTTGTAGTTGCTGGGATTTATAGTTCACCTACAATCAAAGAGCATTCTGAAACCCATCAATGATGGAATTGAACCAAACTTGGCACACAGTTCTCCCATGACCAACAGAAAATACTGGAAGGGTGTGGTTGGCAGTGTCCTTTTGTTTTGGAGTTATAGTTCACCTACATCCAGAGATCACTGTGGACTCAAACAATGATGGATCTGGACCAAACTATACACAAATACTCAATATGCCCAAATGTGAACACTGGTGGAATTTGGGGAAAATAGAATCTTGACATTTGGGAGTTGTAGTTGCTGGGGTTTATAGTTCACCTACAATCACAGAGCATTCTGAATCCCACCAATGATAGAATTGGGCCAAACCTCCCACACAGAACCCCCATGTGGGCCACAGCAACGCGTGGCAGGGGACAGCTAGTCTATATAAATAAAAATGTAATGTTCGTTTGTGGGATTAACACAACTCAAAAACCACTGGATTAATTGACACCAAATTTGGACAGAAGAACCAATTGGACCAATGAGTGACTATCACTCATAAAAACATGGAAAAACACAGCAGAAGAGACGTAAAAAGCCAAAAAAACAAAACAAAATGCATTACAACGCATATGCAAAACCACATATATATACAGAAATCACACATATATACAAATACACACACAAACCATATATACACGGACTGGGCCACAACAAGATGTGGCAGGGGACGGCTAGTATGTAAAAAAAATGTAATGTTTGTTTGTGGGATTAACATAACTCAAAAACCACTGGACGAATTGCCGTCATACTTGGCCACAAGACACCTACTAACTCAAGGAGTGACCATCACTAAAAATATATATATATAATTTTGTCATTTGGGAGTTGCAGTTGCTGGGATTTATAGTTCTCCTACAATCCAAGAGCATTCTGAACTCCATCAACGATAGAATTGAACCAAACTTGGCACACAGAACTGCCATGATCAACAGAAAATAGTGGAAGGGTTTGGTGGGCATTGACTTTGAGTTTGGGAGTTGTAGTTCACCTACATCCAGACAGCGCTGTGGACTCAAACAATGATGGATCTGGACCAAACTTGGCACAAATATTCCATATGCCCAAATATATACACAGATGGAGTTTGAAGGAAATAGTTGTAGTTACTGGGATTTATAATTCAGCTACAACCAAAGAGCATTCTGAACCCCATGAACGAGAGAACTGGGGCATAACCAAGAGAAAATACTTAAGGTCATCAAGTCCAACTCCCTTCAACAGGGCAAGAAAACTTTATCAAAGCGCCAAAGAGCCATCCAGCCATGGATATAGATAGATATATATGATTCACACACACACAGATATAGTATCATAGATTTGAAAGACAATTCTATGTTGCATGTTCCAGAGTTGGCAAACCAGACAATCTCCCCATCAACACCGACAAAGAAACAACAAGAAATACTTTTAACCCACAAGCATCAAGACATTACATATATTAGAAACCAACACTTTCTCATTACTTTATTTTCCAGCTCATGAGACTGGGCCACAGCAACACGTGGCAGAGGATAGCTAGTACTCAATTGTGGATTTCAATGGCAGCGCCCAAACACGAATCAAGGAACATGAAAGGCACTGCAGACTACTTCAACCAGAGAAGTCAGCCATAGCAGAGCACCTGATGAACCAGCCTGGACACAGCATATTATTTGAGAACACAGAAATGCTGGACCACTCCAACAACCACCATGTCAGACTACACAGAGAAGCCATTGAAATCCACAAGCATGTGGACAATTTCAACAGAAAGGAGGACCATGAAAATGAACAAAATCTGGCTACCAGTATTAAAAAACTCTAAAATTACAACAGCAAAACAGCAGAGAGGAAACAACCAGGCACATCTTAACACCTCTCAACAAAAGATTTTCCCAGGCTCAGGCAGGCCTTCAAATGCTAATGAAGGTGGTCAGTTGAAACATTCACACCTAGCTCCAGCAGAGAAGAGCTCTTTGCCCCACCCCAGCCATTCCACAGATATATAAACCCATTGTCCTATTTCCAACAGACCTCACTACCTCTGAGGATGCTTGCCATAGATGCAGGCCAAACGTCAGGAGAAATGCCTCTAGAACATGGCCCTATAGCCCAAAAAAACCCACAAGAACCTAGTGATTCCAGCCATGAAAGCCTTCGACAATACACTTATTATTATTATTATTATTATTATTATTATTATTATTATTCTCATTTGAAACACAAGATTAGTACAAAAGAACACTATGCTGGCTATTGTACTGGATCACACGTCGGACACTTCCCAGGTGTCTAGGACTGTGTGATGTATCAATGAATAATGTGTGCAGATCTTAGTAGGGTGGCTTTTTGCAGCCGACAGATGGTAATCTTGTCAGCGCCGATTGTGTTTAAGTGCAGACCAAGGTTTTTAGGCACTGCACCCAGCGTGCCAATCACCACTGGGACCACCTTTACTGGCTTGTGCCAGATTAATCGCCGTCATTATTTGTTTGTTTGTTTGTTTGTTGAACTGCATCCTATTAGTTTCAGCCCAGGTTTCTAGTTTACCAGTGTCCTTTGGACTTCTGTTCTTGTTCTGCAATGCATTTGCTACTATCCTAACATTTAATCACATTTACTGAATTCCATCGAGTCCTCCACTTAAAATGTGATATGCCACTGTGTTCATCACATTAGCTCATCGCACTAGAGAAAGAATCCACTTTAAATCCAGTTGCTGCCCCCTGCAGAATTCTGGAGTTTATAGTATAGAGCGGAGCCTTTAACAGCCTTACTAAACTACAAATCCCAGAATTCTGCAGGAGGCAGAAACCGGATTTAAAGTGGATTCATTCTCTAGTGTGATGAAGTCACAAGTTGGGTTCAAGTGTAGGGTAGAGCATTCTTTCCACATTTTAAGCGTGGGGGCCAGCATTCTTTTCAAACGTTTCAGGAGGTGGTGGGGAAGTGGATTTTTAGTACTGATCTGGATGTTTGGCCCATTCTCTAATGCAGGGGTCCTCAAACTAAGGCCCGGGGGCCGGATGCGGCCCTCCAAGGTCATTTACCCGGCCCTCGCTCAGGGTCAACCTACGTCTGAAATGACTTGAAAGCACACAACAACAACAATCCTATCTCATCAGTCAAAAGAAGGCTCACACTTCCCATTGAAATACTATTAAGTTTATATTTGCTAAAATAGTTCTTCATTTTAATTATTGTATTGTTTTTAAGTGGTTTTGCACCACAAATAAGATATGTGCAGTGTGCATATCGATTAATTCATTTTTTTTCAAATTATAATCTGGCCCTCCAACAGTTTGAGGGACTGTGACCTGGCCCTCTGTTTAAAATGTTTGAGGACCCCTGCTCTAATGTGATGACTTTTGTTGCTCTCAGGACTAAAATGGGACGTTTCCCCAATTTGTGGAAGGAGCCAAGATACCCTTGTTAGGGAAAGTTAGGGAAAGTTTATTATGCCATGTCTCCATGCTGTACAGTCCTGGGAGTCATACTTTTCCAAGGTACAAACTCTTCTCTTGGTGCATTTACAGTATGGAATGAATGTCCTTGCACTCCACTTTAAACGTCATGGCTCCATGCAATGGAGTTCTCCTGGGAGTTATAGTTTCCCAAGGTCCATTCCCTTCTCTGCGTGCATCTGCACTGGAGAATAAATGCAGTAGGGACCCATTTTATCATCATCATCATCATCATCATCATGCCAAGTCCATGGGAGTCATAGTTTTTCAAGGTCCACACCCTTCTCTTGGTGCATTTATAGTTTGGAATGAATGCCCTTGCACCCCACTTTAAATCCCATGGCTCCATGTGATGGAGTCCTCCTGGGAGTTATAGTTTCCCAAAGTTCATATAATTCTCTGGGCTCATCCAGAATGCAGTTGGACCTTACTTTAAATGCCATGCTTCCATGAGATGGTCTTGGGAATTGCAGTTTCCCAAGATCCATAAACTTTCTCTGGGTACATCTACACAGTGGAATGAAGGCAACTGGACCTTACTTTAAATACCATAGCTCCATACTAAGCAATTCTGGGAGTTATAGTTTTCCAAAGTACACACTGCTCTCCGTGGGGCAGCTGAGAGAGAGAGAGGGAGAGAGAGAGAGAGAGAGAGAGAATCACCGCTTTCCCTCCCTGCTTCCTTGCTTCCAGAATTGAGAACACATAACAGCTGACATTTCAAAGAGAGGAGGGATTTCCCCACACAAAGAACATGGGAGGAAGGATGGTGGATGGTGCCTAGCTATTACAGTGTGATGGCAAAATCAACTGAAAGAATGCTGAGTACAACTGAGTAACACGGATACATTTAACAGTGTGATGAGCGTAGGGAAATAATCAGTTTCATTTCAAAACTGAGTATGACTGAGCCTTGCCAAATACTTCCCTGCTTCAATGTGATGACGTCCACTTGAAGTGGCTCCCTTTCCCTAATACAGTTAATCGTTCTGTATTATAACCGATTAAAAAATACTGAAGAGTTCCAACCTCAGGACATAGCCCTCTGCTTAAGATCTCTCTCCATTTCAAAGTGCAACCATCAATGGTACATTTTCCCAACCATTTATGGGTCCATCGTCATACTTGGTACTTACATATATAATAATATTCGTGCCCAGGCCGGAATTCAAACCCCAAGGAGAATGGGGTGAAGAGCTGGAACTTTTCGGAGAACTTCAGTGGCCCGTTGGGTGAGTCGGGCCGGTTGCATTCCCAGCGCTTGAAGCCATTTTGCCGGTGGTCGCAGGAGTCATGACCCTCGTAATTGACCATGTAGAGGATGTAGCGCTCCATGCGGTCCATGGGAAAAGGGATCTCGTAGTGCGGGCAATAGATATCCAGGTAGTCGTTGATGCTCACTTCCACAGTGTAGTCACTCTGGTGGAACCTGTGGTGGCAAACAACGAGGGAGAGTTAAGGAAGTGAAAAACCAAAGCCTACAAACACAGTTGCTACTACAGGTGGTCCCTGAGTTGCAAACATCTGACTTGCAAATGACTCGTAGTAAGGAATGGGTATGACACAACAGGAAGTGCAGAGAAAGCTATTCCTTGGAAGGGAAAGTCACTCCTGTAAGAGTTTTCATGGTTGGGACCAGAAAAGACTTCGGAATACCTATATTTCCATGTACACATAAAACAGGATGTCTCAGAGATGGGACCCAAGTCCAAACATGAAACCCATTGGTGTTTCATATAAACCAGGTATGGGCAAACCCAGGCCCGGAGGTCAGATGCAGCCCCATGGGCTCTTTTCTCAGGCCCTCCTTTTTCTCACCATCCTATCCTATCCTTCCTTCCTTCTCTCTTTCCTTTCTCCTTCCCTCCCATCTTCCCTCCCTCCCTCTTTCTCCTCTCTCCCTTCTTCCCCCCTCTCTCTCCTTTCTTCCTTTTCTTTTGTCTTTTCCTTCCCTCTCTTTTCCTCCCCTCTTCCTTCCCTTCCCTCTTTCTCCCTCCCTCCATTTCCTTCCACCCTTTCATCCTCTCCCCGTTTTCTTTCCTTCCTTCTCTCTTTCCTTCCTCATCTCTCTCCTTCCCTCCCTCTTTCTCTTTCTCCTTCCATTCTTCCCTTCCACCCTTTCATTCTTCCTTCCTTCTCTCCCTCTTTCTCCTTCTTTCATTCCTTCCTTCCTTCCCTTTTGTCTTTCCTACCTTCCGTCTTTACTCCCTCCTTCCCTCTTTCTCCTTCAATCCTTCCCTTCCTCCTTTCGTCCTTCCTTCCTTCCCTCTTCCCTTCCTCTCTCCCCCTTTCTCTTTTATTTCCTTCCTTCCCTTTTGTCTTTCTTTTCTTCCCTCTTTCCTCCCTCTCTCCCTCTTTCTCCTTCTCCTTCCTTCCTCCTTTTCCTTCCTTTCTTTCCTTTTTCCTTCCACCCTCCTTTCCTTCTCTCCTTCCTTCCTTCCCTTCCTCTCCCCTTTCTCTTTTCCTTCCTTCCTTCCATCCTTCCTTCCTTCCCTTTTCTCTTCCTTCCTTCTTTCTCCTCCTCCTTCCCTCCCCTTTCATTCCTTTTTCCTTTCTTTTCTCTCCCTTTCTCTTTCCGTCCTTCCCTTCCACCCTTTCGCCCCTTCCTTCCCTCTTTCCTCCCTCCCTCTTTCTCCTTCCTTCCTTCCTTCCTTCCTTCCTTCCTTCCTTCCTTCCTTCCCCTTCCTTCCTCCCTCCCTCCCTTCCCTTTTGTCTTCCTTTTCTTCCTTCTTTCCTCCCTCTCTCCCTTTTTCTCCTTCAATCCTTCCTTTCCTCCTGTTCGTCCTTCCTTCTTTCTCTTTTTCCTTCCACCCTTCCTTTCCTCCTTTCGTCCTTCCTTCCTTCCCTCTTCCCTTCCTCTCTCCTCCTTTCTCCTTCCTTCCTTCCCTTGTGTCTTTCTTCTTCCCTCTTTTCTCCCTCCTTCCCTCTTTCTCCTTCTATCCTTCCCTTTCACCCTTTCATTCTTACTTCCTTCTCTTTTTCTTTCCTTCCTCCTTCCCTCCCGCCCCTTCCTTCCTTCCTTCCTCCCTTCCATCCATCCATCATTCTCCTTCCTTCTTCCTTCCTTCCTTCCCTTTTTCTTCCTTTCTTTTCCTTCTTTTTCTTTCCTCCCTCTTCCCTTTTCTCCTTCTCCTTCCTTTCCCCTTTCTTCCTTCCTTCTTTCTTCTTTTTCTTCCCTTCCTTCCTCCTTTTTCTCCTTCCTTCTCCCTATTCCCTTCCTCTCTCCTCCTTTCTCTTTCCTTCCTTCCTTCCCTTGTGTCTTTCTTCTTCCCTCTTTTCTCCCTCCTTCCCTCTTTCTCCTTCTATCCTTCCCTTTCACCCTTTCATTCTTACTTCCTTCTCTTTTTCTTTCCTTCCTCCTTCCCTCCCGCCCCTTCCTTCCTTCCTTCCTCCCTTCCATCCATCCATCACTGGGCAGCCAGTCCTCCTAACAGGGAGTGCTGGCATGCAGGACCCCAAGTTAGAAAGTTTGCCCAGGCCTAATATAAACTTTATACACATAGCTTGAAGGTTGTTTTATACACAATACAGTGCCCTCCACACGCACATGACCGACACAGGGCATGTATGCTGGGCTGACAAAAAATGTTTTGGTGGTTATATCTAACTACAGGGATAATTTATTAATAATCATTTTATCTAAAATGTCGCACGCAGATTTGATAGACAGCCCTCTTTGTGTCACCCAGTGTAGTCCACACCCCCCACACGATGCCAAGGTAAACGCCGGCACCCTTTCCCATTCCTTCCCTTGAGCTGAGCGGATTTCAGCTCCTGCCGGAGACACTCCAGACCCAACCGCCTTCCCACCCACGTGATCCCCTTAATCTCCCTTCCTCCCATTAACTTTACAAGATTAAAGCGAGCACCTCTTAAAATTAATAAACTGGCAACCGCCGACGAGGAAGGGAGGGAGATCGTTCCTCGACATCTCGGGTATTATATTCAGAGGCACATATCGCTCGGAAAGATGGGCTTTTTTCCTCTGTTTCATTCTCTTCTTTTTCTTATAATTTTGGGACAGAGCAACCAGGAGATTAAGGGATTAGGAAATCCAGGAGAAGCGCACGCTAGGCCTGCATTAAAAGAAGCAGGTGCCGTGGTTCATGCAGTTTGGCTTTCAGGGGATGATGCCCAGTCATCCACTCCAGGCTCTAAACTGGGTTGCTGCAAGTTTTTCGGACTGTATGGCCATGTTCCAGAAGCATTCTCTCCTGACGTTTCGCCAATGACTTGAAAACACACATCAACAACAACAACAATCCTTTCTCATCAGCCAAAAGCAGGAACACACTTCCCATTGAAATACTAATAAGTTTATAGTTGTTAAAATTGTTCTTCATTTTAATTATTGTTTTGTTTTTAAGTGTTTTTTTTTTTTTGCACTACAAATAAGATATGTGCAGGTAAAGGTAAAGGTAGTCCCCTGACATTAAGTTCAGTCATGTCTGACTCTGGGGTGTGGTGCTCATCTCCATTTCTAAGCCGAAGAGCCAGCGTTGTCCATAGACACCTCCAAGGTCATGTGGCCGGCATGACTGCATGGAGCGCCGTTACCTTCCCGCCGGAGCGGTACCTATTGATCTACTCACATTTGCATGTTTTCGAACTGCTAGGTTGGCAGAAGCTAGGGCTGACAGCGGAAGCTCACGCCGCTCCCCAGAATCGAACCTGCGACCTATGCAGAGTGCATAGAAATTCATTCATGTTTTTGTTTTGTATTTTCAAATTATAATCCGACCCTCCAACAGTTTGAGGGACTGTGACCTGGCCCTCTGTTTAAAAAGTTTGAGGACCCCTGCTGTAAATCATTGCCTCCTCCTGAGAAAAACTCATAATATCACAAAGGATTACCACCTCACCCGCTTTATAGGAAATCTACTACAAAACAGCAGCTTTTTTGTTGAGTTCCTAGACCAGAGAAGCAGACGGTGAAAACAGAAGAACTGCCTGCCTCATGGGAGCATGCTTACTCCATTAAGTTCACCATTTACATAAATGATCAGCCACTGACAGAAGGAGCAGAAAGTTTCATCTATGCTGTCGATCATGCCATCACCGCTCAAGCGGGGAGCTTTGAAATGGTTGAAAAGAAGCTCTCTGAAGCTTTAGGCGTTCTTACTGCCTATTACAGGGAAAACCAGCTGATTCCTAATCCATCTAAAATGCAGACATGTGCTTTTCATCTTAAGAACAGACAAGCATCTTGAGCTCTGAAGATTGCCTGGAAAGGAATCCCACTGGAGCATTGCAGCGCACCCAAATACCTGGGAGTCACTCTGGACTGTGGTCTGACTTACAAGAAGCACTGCTTGCCTATCAAGCAAAAAGTGGGTGCTAGAAATAATATCATACAAAAGCTGACTGGCACAACCTGGGGATCACAACCAGATATAGTGAAGACATCTGCCCTTGGGCTTTGCTACACTTCTGCTGAGTACGCATGCCCAGTATGGAATGCACCTCATCACATTAAAACAGTGGATGTGACTCTTAATGAAACATGCTGCATTATCACAGGATGTCTATACCCAACATCACTGGATAAATTATATTGTTTAGTCAATATTGCACCACCTGATATCTGCCAGGAAATAGCAGCCAGCAATGAAAGGACCAAGGCAATGACATCTCTGGCCCATCCTCTGTTTGGATGACTGAAATCAATAAACAACTTCCTGTGGGAACTTTCTTCCACTCTTGGTGGACTTGCAAACCAATTAAAAAATATTGGAAAATAATACACAAGCACTCCCAGAAAATACTAAAATTGAAGTTCGAACTCAGGCCTGAATACTATTTACTAAACATCACAGATTTTGAAATAGGGAAAATAAAGATAAAATATTTTACTATCTGACCTCTGCAGCCAGAACACAACTAGCCTAGAAATGGCACACGAAAGAAATCCCGACAGCAGACACTTGGTTACCAAAATAATGGAATATATGGACATGGACTCCTTAACTTTTCTATTGCAGGACCAGAAAACTAGATGTTGAACGGACTGGTCAATATATAAAGAATTTCTCCAGGAAATAAAACTTAATATACAGATAGAATAGTTTAACTATAGCACAAATCATGAGAATGTTAAGAAGAAAGAGAAAATTTTCTGTGGAATACAAACGTCCCCACTCCACCCCTCCACTTCCCTTTCTGTCCCATTTTTCTCCCTCCCCCTTCTCCTCTTTTTTCCTCTTTTCTTTTTCCTATCCTACCCCATCCCCGCCCAGATCCCTTCCCCTAACCCTAACCCTATCCAAACATTTTATTGTTCTGTTATTCTAAAACTTATGCAATAAAGATGATTTTAATAAAGAAATCAATAAACAACTTCCTAAGATCTACAGAGATACTCAGAAGAACACCTCAGCAAGCGAGAGTCCAAAAGTGGCAGGTAAAACCCGGATCTTTAGCCAGTGGCTG